TTTTTATTAGTATGCATAAGTATGGTGTGTGATATACCGTAGTAAACTGTTTTTTTAATTGAATAACAAAGTCTGCAAACAGAATTCATACAGCGTCTTGCAGAAGTATTTGCCCTCTTGCAAAGTTTCCACAGTTTTTGCTGACTGAGGAGCTAGCACGACACAAACAGGAATGTATATTTAGAATCTGCACAACCTACTGCAAACTGATTAAGCTAAAAACTCTGATAGAATGTAAATAAATTCATTTCTTTAAGAAAATAAGAAGATTCATAATTGCAGACGTATTCACCCCTTTTGAAATCACAGTCCTAAATTAGTCCAGGTACAAAATAATAATTTGAAAGGTCACACAGTTTGTGTAATGGTCTCTGTCTGTGTGTAATCAGAGTGGTTTAACTTGGCCTCAGAGAACATACTGTACATCCCTCTCTGTAGGCACAGTTCATAGAGTGATATAACATATGGACCATGAAGAGTATGGAGCTTTCAGAAGAAATCAGGGATTGAGTGGCAAATACAGTAGGAAGAGTTTGGGAAAAGGTTATTTATATCTTTGAGTATAGCGGAAAGTCCATCATTAAGAAGTGAAATGTGCCATTTATACAATCGTATCACCAGGATGCTTCCTAGATCATGCCCTATTTCCATATGGAGCTGCCAGGCAAGGCAGCGGTGATTCTGAAACATTTGCAAAGTTCTGTGCCAGAGATGTGAGTCACTGTTGATACATTAACATTCCAATCCTACACAATGCTGGTCTGCAAGAAAGAAGTCATTACTGATATACTGCAGACTTTTGGCAGAAGTCTTTGAGTCAGATGGGTATGTCTGATAGAAGCCCACCAGAGCACACCACCAACTCAACACCATCCCAACTTTCAAGCATGACAGTACTAACATTAGGGACTGGGATGTTTGTCCGGATTGGGAGGAAAATGGATGGTGCAAAACATAACCGAATCCTGGAGGAATGCCTACTTGACTTCAAAATCTAAAACAGGGCGGAAAATTCACAGTTCAACAGGACAAGGACGTGAAGCATAAGGCCGAAACCGACACTGAAGTACCAACTGACATTCATCATCCTCATATATACAGTAACAGTGTTCAGTTTTGAACAAAAAAGTTTGGATATAAATGGTTTTGTAAGGCACTAATATATCCGTCCATAATTATTGGAATAGTAGGAGCATAAATTACTTGATATAGTCAGGAGAAAAGGAAATAATTCACAACTAAGTGCTAGTTAGTATGCAGTTTAATAACAATTACTATTATCAGCATTTCAGTCTTTGCAGATCCTTGCTGGGACCTAATAGGCTTGGCTACATACAGTAATCATACAAGACAGATTGGTCAAATCTGAATTGGTTCTGGAGCAATTCATAGGTAACAAAAAATGTATTAAACATAGACGAGGTAGTTGTAAATACTGTATACAGTTAAGACGTTCACAATACGACCAAAGAGAAACAACTGGGTAAAAAGATTATATCCTAAAAATAGGCAATTTTGCAAAATGTAAAAATTCAGAACACTTTCAAAACAATCAGAAACTCTGACAATTGAGTATGAAAAGGCTAGAATTACGATATGTTTGTTCTCTGTGTCTAATAACTTTTGTAGTACAGTATCATTTAGATTTAACTGATCTTTGTTCCTGGTATGAGTACTATTGTGTGAATCAATTTTTATGCTCATGCATATGCTAAAGAATTGTAGAAAATGTATTTACACTACATTTGTAAAAATGTCACTAAACTATTGTTTGCTAGGAACATTTCTGTTTAATTATCAGTGTCACGATAGATATTCAATATTGCATTTGTTTAACATACATATTAAAGGTGATATCTTGTCTGCCAGGTGGCAAAGTTCTCAGGAGTCCAGGGTAGTGTTTGTTCTCACTGAAACTCCTGTTTTAATATATGCAGAAAATGATTGTTTAACATAACACAGATATCTCATGTAAATAAGAGGTTGTCAATGAAAACATTAAAAGTTAGATGTTTTCTGATACTGTACATTCTAAAGTAATTGACTGGTTTTCCTAGACATATTTTTCAGTATCATGTTAAGATACATTATGAAACCTGTTAATTAGTTGGATGGTCTAACTAGAGAAAAAGGTGCACTCTGACAAGTATGGCAAAGAATTAGCAAGAGGCAGACAGCAATATGGATATTTGATCAGATTAATCACTTAAATTTAATTACAAAGTCTTTTAAATGTATTATAGCTATAGGTCATATTTGCAATCAAAAGTTAAATGAGAGCTATAAAAGTTGACAAATTAATAAATATACTATACGTAGATATAAGACTATACAGTCCTGTGGAAAACTATACAATTAATAGAGAAAATAAAAATAACTCTATAAAACCAATCTAACTGTAATATATACAGGTTGTGCTTTAGATTTATTTTAAAAGTATAAGAGCTATATTTATGATGTGGTTGAATATACAATATAGGCGGTATAATATAATAGGTGGGCAATCCTTGGTTTTGAGTGACAATTTGAATAAATTCAAAATTTAAATTCATATACTGTAAATATTTGAAAGTATCGTCATGGCCTTTGTGTTGTTTTCCTATATTAGGAAGTGTTAATATAAAAGCACTTTTTAGCTACTGAAATACACATCATATCTTGTTCTTAACGTCATGTTTGCAATCAATATTTAAAAAATCAAATACTGGACAACATAAATTACAAATGTTAAAACAATACAGGAAATTGGGTTAATGATTTTTTTCAGAAAAGAAGTGAGAAATAACCATACAGTCACAATGTATGCACTAGCAAAAAAAGAAAATCTTTTCTATTTTGGCTGTTTTTTTGGCTGCATGCGTGCTAATTATTTAGAACACTGCTACAGTTTTTTTTTTAAATCTCAAACAACATAGAACTTTTTTTTATAGCTAATGATTATTGCTGGAATTTTTTTTAACATAATTGAATCCTTCGATTAACCAGATGGGTCAATTGAGAAATCACATCATTAACAATGATGACCCAGAGAATACCTAATTATATACCTAAATCAATCATTATTTGACTTATTAAAATATATGATTTATTGGAGCAGTTTGTTAAAAAATACAACAGTATCTCAGGCCATAATTCTTTAGTCTGCTGTACAGAGCCCTAACCACTCCACACTGCTGCACAAAAGGTCTAATAAGGAAGAACTATTTTGTTCTTATTCAAATTAACAAATAAAAAGCTCCTTTAACCTCCTAAGAAGGATCAGTCTTACTATACTGTAGGTCCTTTTTAATTTAAGAAGGTCATGCTGTTTGAGGCACTGTAGAATGGTTTATTCACTTTTGCAGCAAATTCTTGTTGTTTTATAACGTCAAAGTCTGACTCATAAACACTGTGGCAGTGTAGAAAAGGTGACCAGTCTAGTCAGCTTTTAAAATAGGTATTATCATAAAACTAACTAATGCACCAAAGTGAATGGTAAATGTGTTGTAAATCTCCTATTCTTCAAAAACAAAGACTTAATCTTATTGGCAAGCAAAGGGGTTTAAGGGACCCCAGTGTTATCAGTTCATGTATACCTGTGGTAGTCAAAACAACTAAAGCCAGTTGTCCCCTTCTTGTAGTGCTGGTGACAGCACAGCATTAGGTCACAAACCTAAGTCTACAGTCAATAAGCTTCACTTCAGTGGGCTACTTGTCCCTTGAGCCTGATCTCTTGACCCTACTTCTTCTCCTTGCATTGTTAACAGAGCAAAGTCTCATCTTTCAGAATACTGCACATTGCTTGTAATCTCACAAAAGGTGACAAAAGAGATCCTGACTTTTAATATACTGTACTGTAGGTATAAAGGTAAAGGTGTAATAAGGCATAAAGTTTAAAATATCCATGGCCTGAAACGTGAATTTTGCATGAATTAATTCGAATGCGTCTAAGAAAAGCTTGGGAAAGTCAAGAAAACTGTGAGTGAAGTCAAACAACTGTGATGGATTTTACCATTGCTTCTGCTCAGCTTTTAAGTTGCCGATTACACTGTATCAAAACTACATCAGTGTCAATCACACTGTTTTAGAACTGGGACTTAAAATACATGTAGAACTGGGCAAACAACATACAAAGTGCAGATTTAAAATAAGTTTCATACAAAGTGCCCTCATTCCTCGCCCAATTCTCCAGTTGTTATGCCTTGAAGGTTGTTAACACCAAACGATATATATTCTCCTACTGCTGACTAAAATATACTTGCTTCAAGCATTGTATTTCTTCAGTTTCTTAACTCCTAGGCTTGTCATTTACTGCCCCAAGGATAACTTGAGATAAAGGCAAGAAGGTGTCAGTGTAAGCTTGTACTTATTGGGGGTGGGGGGTAGCAGTACTTGATTATTTTATGCTGTGCTTCAAGTGGGAGTGTGGGCTTCCAGAATGTTAGAATGACTAGTTACACATACAGAGTTTGGTTTCTTAGGCAACTTTTGGCTTGAATTACATGGATTTGAGGAGCTTCTTCATTCCTGAACTAGCATCCGTGCAAGCAGAGCTCTGTTTTTTGAAGATGGTGCTGCTTACATTAAATGGTGGTACTGAAGCATTTGCATGTTAAATCCTGTATGTTATACATGATATATGAATAAAGCATTACACCTACTAGCATTAGGAGATGAAACTGCTACTGATACATGCTCACACTGGAATCTTTTGACCTATTTTTTTACCACCTTCTCAGTAAGGCAGTCAATGGCCTCTATAGCAATTCTCCCTCTTTCCCTTACTAGTTAATAATTCCTACTCCATTATCTGCCAAGGGTTCTTATCAATCTCTCTGTCAGTTTATAACAGGGGCTTATCAATGTATCTGGAGTCACATGATTATGACAAGCCTATCACAACCATGAATTTGGAACCCAACCGATTAGTGCCCATGAGACAGGACCATTGGTCAGGTCACTATTTCTTGGGGGGGGGCTGGGGGGTGGGAGTTGTTCAGTACACTGAGAGAATTCAGGTGTCTTTCGAGCTTGGAGGTGATATCTGTTTTTAACCCAAACTTTCCCTGAAGTCTTTCTAGAATCAAGGCCGGAAAAAGTTTACAAGTCACACCTTTTCACAGTCAGTTTTATATGATTTTCTGTCAAGGGCAAAGCACTTCCAGCCAATAATGTCTTCAAGCCCTGAGCCTGGCATGGGGCAGGATTTCACAAGACAAGAGCTCTCTGGGTTAGGTAGGTTGCAATCTCTCCGATTTCTTTTGCTTTTACACAATCCTTTACCAGACACTTGAAAGAATCTGACACTTGTGTGATTCTCTTCGTATTCCAGCAGCAAACACTAAAGTGTACCAAATCATTTCAAGACACTTTTCTCATGCCTACAAGCTATTCATACTATATTTTGGGGCTGCATTGATACAGAGGACACAGTTTTTTATTTAATTTAATTTTCCATCTATGAGGGTTACAAGTATAATGGTGTGGCATCCGTAAATGAGGAGGCACGTTCGACTTTAGAATTGACACGTTAAAAATAGCTTCTCGTCGTTAATTGATCAAATGCATGGTTTATAAATAGAGAGGAATCTAGGAGGTTATGACGTCTCACCTACCACCCACCAAACAAGCAGGTGGATATTGTGTAGTCAGGAGATTTGAAAATTTGTGGTAATACAGAATAGAAAGATTTATGTTCAAAATAATTAGCTTCAAGATAGTTTACAGTGATTCAGGTGTCATTCTTTATTCTCCAACAAAGAATACGGCTGGGTTTTTTTGCATACAGTATGTGCTAAATAGACTGTTTAAAATATTTTCTCAAATTTTGGAAAAAAGACTAAATTAACGAAATTGTGCTTGCCTAATCACAAGCTTAAACGCATTTTGGACTCGGTTGGAGTAGCTGATTGACTGTTTCATTGATTGATTGGTGTACATCTTATCTTATGTCGTAGAAAGAAACAGGAATGTACGAGAAAGGATTTTTTTCCCAGATGATACTGACATCGACGTTATTAGAAAGGAAGACGCGAACCGTGCTGTATGCATTGTTGCATTATTTTGCGAATAAAACACATCACAACAAATCGTTTTTCTCATATTTTTGAAAACTTGCATTATTCGCATATCTGCTTTACTGTCCTTTGTAATAATTTGTTTACTATGAGAATCTGGTTTGTAAGGTAAATGTTTTCCGACCACAAAAGTATATTTTAACATTGTGATTGTGTTATTTACATTGATGTTTTGTTTCGATTAATTATAAGATTCAAGGTAAGATGAAACGGTCTTTTTAGATTTTTTTATATGAAACACAAAACTTTCGGCCTTAAATAATAAAAATACAGATAGCCTATAATGCTTGTCACTTGTTAATGGTTTAATGGTGTGTTTCAACAACTGTGGCTAGCTTTGAGACTTTAAAATACCGGATTATAATTCTTTGCAAAACACTTGGAATCTTCAGCGTTTGGAAAGATGAGCGAAAGCTATAGGCTACCACGGACTTGATGATTTATTGTACATGGAGAAACTTTCTCATGCTAGTCTACGTTTTTTTCCTAATAGGAAAGGTTACAAACTGATTAAAGCAGAACAACAATGCTCTACAGAAATTATCACAACTTTCAAAAGAGGTTATCAAATATCGAGAAATGTCTCCAGCAGTAGGGTAAATACAAATAAATCAAGAATTTGAATTGGAATAATCCGAACACGTTTTCAGTTTCACAATACACTGTTCTTTTCAGATACCTATCGAGGCAAACACCATGCATATTTTATAAAGCAATTCTTGTAATTTCACCAACTGAAGGTACGTAGCAGTTCCCGGGCTGGCATACTTGACAATAAATAGTATTATCTTAACATTGTTCATATGAAGAATAATGTACAAATGTAGCAAAGATGAAGAGAAGAGTAGACAATTGTGATTGAACCAGTTTATAATGAAAACAAAAGGCAATCCTGGAAAAACGAATAAGGAGGGCTATTCTGTTTCTGGTAATACGTAATACAGGCTACCGTTTTAAAATCTTTCAGTTTGAAAAGTATAATACAGTACAATTATCTTTCAACCGCTAAAATGGGAAAATTCCGTTCGTTCCTCGTTAAGATAATTATTTTTTAATTATATCTAATGATTTTAAGTAGAATAAATTTAGATTAAAAATGATACATTTTTCCGAAACGCCCCTTGAGAAATTGGAGCTGTAATACAGAAAAAAAATGCAGAAAATGTTTTGTGAATAAAGCAAGTAAATTCGGTTAAAACATATTTTTTAGATGTGGAAAATAATTTAAAGTCTGTTTAATTGTAATTAAACAGATATTTAGGACATCATAGCTTGTTTTTTTTTTACTTAATAAGAGAATACGGTATTTCAAAGGCGTTATAATGTCTTCAGTAAAAAAAAACTTGTAGCTTTTGCAACTTTTGTATTCTTTTTATCTTAGCATTAATCTCTGTGTAGATCTCTGCACTGTAATTATTGTTTAGCATTTTTTTTACTTGCACTTTTTATTGAAAGCGGCTTGTTGCAATCTTAAAATATTAGATTCTCAATTCCTGAAAACGCTTTTAGGGGGAATACTTCCAGTTCTTCCAGTTCGGCGGCTTCCTTTTTGTCATTCTGTAAAGAGATATAAAGATAAAAATGGATTCGTGATTCTAACGTTTTTACCAATATTGAAATAAAAAAAGCACAATTCTAATTTTCTGTTTATTTCTTAGATTATTGTTCGTAGTAGCGGTGGTACTACTGTTTCTAGTTTCTAAGACGCAAGTGTAAATGCTTTTGCTTCTGACCGACACCGTACAGAATTCAAATAAAGGATCTTTATGTTAGTATCGGATCGTCTTGTGATCAACCAGGTGAAGCGAAAGAGATATACTTTGTTATCGTAAGCCAGTCATTCGAACACCTACAGGTTAGTCACTGAACTCATTACCGTAAAGTATCCGATTGCAGTCGGTGTCAGCAGAAAACTTCAAAATGAATATTTTAATGTAAAAAAGATGTTTAAATATTTGTAGTGGGCCTTTAGCTGTGCACTTTTGACATCAGTTGTCTATGTCGGAGCAGTACACTGTATTCAGAAGCAACACAGGTAGATATGTGATTCTTTACCGTTAGCAATAAGCACGTTTCACCTGCTACTACAGTATTGTATCTCCGTGAATAATTTGTAATATAGCAATTTCAATTTCTGTTAAGGATCAGTAATGAACACAGTTGAAAGCACATTCAATTTGCTTATATTTTAATTAAGCATTTCAACCAGTATTTTCTACATTTTATTAAGTATTAAGAAAGCTTTGTGTGAAGTAAGGGTGAGGCACAGAAATTAATTGGCGTATTATCTAAAATTATTATGATTGCTAGTAGTTTTCAAAACCATTAATTATTTATGTTGGGCAATACTGCGCTAGCTCATGTCAATAAAGCACGTTGAATCTGAAAATATATTTAGCCTTTTCTTGATGCAGTATTAGAGATGCTTCTGACTTAAAATGTCGACTGCGTTTTAGAAATAATTTTGTATTGTCTTTTCTCCAATCGTGCGCTTGAATGCAATTCATACACTCACCCGGGCGATTATAAACATATCCACCATATCACGAAAACTTAATTGAAATGACCTAATGTTCACAATCATTATTTAAAAACCCAAACAAACCGTCTAATAAATAAATAAATGTTTCTGTCTGAATGTATGACAGAAAAACACTGATAATACTAAATATGTTCTTATTTCTCCAAATCTAACCTTCTAAAATTTCCTTGAATTTCTGTTTTCTCTTGACTCTTTAAATTTCTGTTACAACAACACGGAGCTCAGATATTCGTTGATTCTCACCATGTCCGTTCACTGCGTTATTTATTTTCACACATTTGAAGCATTGTCACTATATCTATTTAAACCACTTCGAATTGGGAGGATGAAACATTTTATGAGCTGCGATTTCTTGCCTCTGCCAGGGATTGGCCAAAGAAAGCGTGATGTCAGACCACCCCGAAGAACCGTGATTGGAGAGAGCTTTGTGAGTGATGAGTAAACAAGGCAGGAAGGAATGGTTTCAACTTCAGAACTCAACACATCACAGATAGAGCTAGCTAGACATAACACATTGGAGGGGACTGTAACCCTGAAGCCCCTGACAGTTAACTTCAGTTTATAGACTGATGTCAGAAACATCGAAGAGGCACTGGGAGATCAGATAGCCGCTGAAACATCGGCACAGACGTGATGATCTCTTAGTTTAAGGTGTTATTTTCTTAATTTTTGGTAAACAGTGCAGAAACCGGTTGTCTAGTAACATAACTGCTGATAGACGTTTTTTTTAAAGTGCGCTCTCTTCTAATTGCAGCGTGGTGACGCAAAAAATTGATATCGATGAGATTAGATTTCACAGGGCCGGTGTGGGAGATGAACTTTTATTTTGTCAGCTATTAAAAGACAAGCTGTTGTGTGCCCTTAAGTTAAAGTGGCACCAGCTGAGTTGAGGCATTCGCTGGATTTGGGGAGAGTTTTCTCAGTAGGTGAGAATTTGTGGTGTCCCCCTTGCGTCCAGGTGGCCTGTCGGACGGAGCCGAGCCCCCAGTTCCGCTTTGCAGCGCTGTCATGCTGCCCAAAGTCGAGACGGAATCTCTGGGACTCGCTCGATCGCATGGGGAACAGGGACACATGCCAGAAAACATGCAAGGTAAGTAAATAGCTTCATTTACATTCATTGCACATGTGAGGTGGATGCAGAAATGGAGAATGTGTGTGTGTATTGTACTGTACATTGTACTAGTGATTTGTCGATTTGGGTAGCATCGTATTAATGGTGCATTAGATTTCAGATCATGTTTAAATTATTGTGACCTTTATAGATCTCATCCGATAATCACTGATACTTCTTTTTCCACCGCGTGTTTAACTAAGGCATATTAAATGGTAAGCTTAGTTTTTAACGGTTCATCACATTGTCATAAGGATGTTGCCAATCGAAACCATTTTGGTAGTAAAATAATTTTCAAGTTACGTATTCAGTAATATTGTGATGGCTCGCTAATGTAAGGTTACGTACTGTACAGTATATGCAGCCTGCGTTATTAGAGGTCGAAGCCCCTTAAGACGTTTATCTCTTGCAATAAACAAAAATATCCAGAAATTATTCATTTAGACGTTATTTACGTGTAGATCCCGAATATTTATAATGTCTTTTTTTACACCAAACTCTGGAAGTTAAGCAAAATAATATGATGGGCCTGAAGTATTCACTTTGAAGTGCATCCTTTGGGAAAACTAAGAAAACTTATTTTTATGGTATCTTGAACTTTCTCTTTGAGCACGAAAACTGTCAAATAATAGTTAATTGTTAATTGATATCTGGGGTCCATTTTACCATCAATGTTATCGTATGGTGGCGTAAATTTGTTATTTTTTTAGCTTAACTGTTTCCTTTAAATATATACACACAAAACGTCTTAAATGTAATTAATGTACCAGTTCAATTTTCATTGTCAATTCCTATAGCAGCTAACTGAATATTTATTACTTTATAAATATTAAGTTATTTCTAAGAACAAATTGAGAACAACTTGTTTATTCAACCTGTTGCGATGTGAAAGTAAGGCACCGAACATTTCCTATTTCCTTCAAATCTCAGTGCTTCAGAATTAATCGGGCAAGGGAAAGTACTGTATATTTATACAGTATAACTTTCTAAACTTGTCCTAGCAAATAAACGGGCAGAAAGTGTACTTTCAAAAAAAGGAAACCAAAATCTCAATTCTCTTAATTTCTGAAATTATTGTCAATTGATGTTTGATTGAAAAAAAGGTTTAAGTAATGAATTTTCATATGCGAGTGTTGTTAAAAACGTTCAAAGCTGAATTAAAAAAGCATTTGAACAGTACTCTTCGATAGTCACTTTTTGTACTTCAGCTTTGAGCATTGAAGATCAGAGATCATAAACCTCATTTTGTGAAACCTAGCTATTTAAATCAGGCGTTTAGATTATTTTTCATTCATCAATCCCACCAGTTGTGTATTGCTTATTTTCCCTTTTCTAGGGGAGAACGTATTAAGTCTAGATAGACACGATTGAGAATCAAGTTAAAGACACGATTTTCTAAAGTATAACTCCATAAGTCCTTAAATATATACTGTATAAAGCGCTGTTATACTGTATATTGATACAGTATGTACCAATAAAATTAAGTTTAAACAAACTTCTCAAGATAATGTAATAGCATCATAAATACAAATTACTTATTTCATTGTATCTTTTTCCTATTTTTTTCTTGCAAATATATGTTTTACGTGTATGGCAAACAGTGTGCTAACAGCATTTAGAATGTCTGTTGAGTAATTTAAAAAACTTCTTCACGTAAAATAACTATAGACTTCTGGTAGGGAAAATGACATCTCTCTATACTAAATCACACTAAATCACCACCGGATTGTAAGACTTTGAACATTTAACAATGGTTCTGTTCTTTGTAGTTGTCGACAATTAATAAATACCTGCTGATGCTGGGTTTTTACGATTGAGACTTCTTGTCATGTTTGGTTTGATGTGTTAAAGTTAGAGAGACGCATTTCCTCCAGATCAGGATATACACTTTCTGAAAGATGTAGGAATTATTTTAATAAAGATATGTTATACTGTAAGTACACGGTAATCAAGTTGTGATAACACAAGTACCGCGAGGTACACGGTACTCAAGTGCTCCATACATAAATATAGTTCCCGGTGATAATTTGTGATACCTGTACCTTGATAAACTGCATGCATTAACAATTGTTTTAGCTCCCACTTCATATAAACCAGTGAAATTAGTTAAGCATAAATACGTTTTAATGTTTTAAAGAGCTAGCACAACCCATAGCATTAAAACACTATAAACTGTATACATTTTAAGTTAATCGTGTAATTCAGATATATATTATTGAGCGATGTTTTATTAATTTCTATACTTTAAATAATAAACTGTAAATTTTACTAATCGGGATATATACATCTGCTAGATTGTAAGACAGTCATCATTAATTCAGTGACATTTTATTTTAAATAAAATATGTGCGATATTGTACATTCATGGATACATGTTCTTGTCTGCATTACAGTCTTTCAGTTATTACATGTACCTCCTGGGATTTACATATCTATTATCTAGTGCTCAACACAATAATTAACTTGATACGTTTTAGTGAAATTAAAGAAACTCCCCTGGTATGCATAGTAATTTTATTTGCATGTTTTGTGATTTAAAGCCAGATTGACAGGAGCTGACATAAACTGTGTCAGAACCGCGAAGGTCCGAGGAATGTTGTCAACTTTAAAAAAAATGAGCATGACTTTATAGTTATATACAGTATCTACGTACTATACTACCTTCGTCAATATACTAAAGCCAAACTGAAATATTAAATAGCTACGTTTGAGGCATTGTGGGCAAGGATTTAAATATTTGTTGCAACTTGTCATTCTTTTTGTTCCCTTAAAAAATGACCGAACAGGTGGTTGGAAATGATTTGATTCAAATTCTTTTTTACAGATTGGAGACACGTTTGTTATACGCGGGTAGCCTACTTTGAAATAAAGTTTTTTGAGTGCCTTTAGGCTGTTTCAGTATTAAATATCTCCTGGCGAGAGAGTGTGTGTGACAGAAGTAGCAATATGCTAGTCTTGTGTTACTCTTAAATGTTTAGTAGCCTCCTACTAAACTTTCTGAGGCATTAGAACATACAGTAGAATGAATATGAATGCAGATTCAAAAGGTTTTACAAATCGCTTAGAAAGTTCACGAATTATCACCGTATTATTTTGTGCTTCCAGAAAAAGAAATGTATGATGTGATATTTCTAGTTAAGAATAACCAAGCATATTACTGACAGGTCTTGTGTAGCCCTCTCTATTTTCATCGTACGTTACTGACCCTCCGTATTGAGACTGCTTATTTGTTATCTGTACGACTTTTACTACAGAAACAGCATTTACAATGGAGTTTTAAGGACTGATTTTTCAACCTATCTGAGGAAGAAGAAAATCAATAAGACTTGGTCATCAAACTGCATACTGTAAATCTGATACATCGGTTGGCTCAGACATCATTTTGTTTCTTCAATGTTTATTCTACTCTTACAGTCAGGAGTATTGCAGACCTGTGGAAAATGTAATGCTGGGGTTTCTAGAAAAGCTTATTTATAGGAAACTTGCCAGAGACGTTCTTGGATGAAGCATGTGGTGGTTCAATTGCAGTGAAAAATTTTACATTGCATTTAAGCTCTGAATTGGCCTATATACCCCTCTACTTTCCAGCTCCTCAGTTTAAAATGATGGACTACTCCTATGATGAAGACCTCGATGAGCTCTGTCCTGTGTGTGGAGATAAGGTGTCAGGGTACCACTATGGTCTTCTTACCTGTGAGAGCTGCAAGGTGTGTGTGGTTTTTTTTTTGCTATATTTTCTGATTGTTTTATCTTGCCTAATTCTTGTTACTTGTTAAATCTTCCGTCTTCTAATTTGTATAGTTGTTTAAAAATATGTCTTCTCCAATTTACTGAAATATGTAAAAAATGACTCATGAATTATGTGTCTGTACAAGTACATATGGATTTATGCGTTCACATTAGGTGTTTTAACTTTAGTAACTTATTTTTTCTTTAATTGTATGAAAGCTAGGTCAAATGAGAAAAGACCTTCATGTTCCGATTAATGCTGTGTAGTAACGTCTTAGTGACACAGTTTTACTCATACACATAAGAAGGAATACTCCATAATTAATTTAAAGAGCTTTTTAAGAGGGTGTCCATGTTTGTATTTAATTCATTTTAATACTTAATCTTGTGATAGCACCTTAGCTTCTCAAATGTCACTGCTTTCATATGCATTTCAGCTATGACTGACTTTTTCCGTGTCTCCAGTGTGCTCAAGTCGAGACAGAAAATGTCTCTCTGTATCAGAAACAGATTTATTTAATGGTGCCATTGTTTGAATATTTAGTTGATTGGAACTATTCCTTTATTACAGAAGTTATGTGTAGTGTTTCTGGAGTTCAAAACTACTCACTGTTTTCTCTTAATTTTCCTAAACTGCACTGTCTCAAATGTAAAAAAAAAAAACAGATCCGGAGATAAAAATCGAAGGACATGGGCAATGCATGTGAATCCCTTTGCCTAGTATGTGTTCTGGTTTATATTAAAACCATTACTTTTGCAAACAGTTTAAAATGAAAGGACAAATCTGCAACCTATTCCTAATGATGCACAATTTTGTTTATAATCTTAAGAACCTAAAATGCATTTTGGTCAAAATGCATGCATATCATACTGTATGTTTGGCCTTTTTCTTGCAACGTTTCTTTTTAATATACAATACCCATCCCATTAATGGTGCTATAAGATACAATTTTAATAATCTCAAGCAATGTAGCAAACCCAAGTCATTGGAACGTTTTTTTAATGTTTTCATTGCCTCTACCCTTTATATACCCTTTAATATACAGTATATGTTTTGTACATGTTTGTGAATTCTTCCAGGTTTTGTTTGCAGATATGATAATTGGTGACCTTAATTCTGTCATTCACTTATTGCCTACTTGAATTAAAAGTCTATTTTAACAGCTCTCTGCACCAACCAAAGGTTGTACTTTCTCATCCAGGTTATTATTGCCAAAAGTATGCTCACTCTATACAAAAGTTAATTAGAACATCGGGGTGTAAAATCCATATTGTAGTGCTTATTTCATGTTAAAGGTCAAAATCCTTTGCACCCCCATAAATTAGGTCAGGTAAGGTAGAATTAAATCTTTGCTGTCTTTAGCAAACAAATTGACTCAAAATATCCTTGTTGTTCAATTATCTTAATGAAATTCAATACTTATATATAATATTTGAATATGCTGCAGCACTCCATCATAATGCAGTAAAACATTCCATTAAGGTTTGCTGACTTTATCTGAGCTGCTTAGTTATTTCAATGGTTCCTGCTTTTGCATTATTTTAAGAGTAGCAATAAAGTCTTCAATTCTCCTTTTACTATAGGAAGCTGCTTGTATTGAATTGGCTGTGTTTTTTTCCCCTATTGCTTTACTTTGATAGGAGTTTGTTCCTTTGTAGATTGTTTTATACAAATCCTGTCAAGGCCTGTGACAAAGATGAACTTAAGCTATTTAATAAATCTCCCTAACTTTTAAGTATTAACAAATCATACAACATTTGTGCATGTTCTTTTTCATAAATATATATTGTAAAAAAAAACAAATATAAGTTTAAAGATTGCAAGAAATTTGAATTTTACATCTAAATATTTTTTTTTCCATAGGGTTTCTTCAAGCGCACAGTTCAGAATAATAAAAGGTACACATGTATAGAAAATCAGAGCTGCCAGATTGACAAAACACAGAGGAAACGGTGTCCCTACTGTCGGTTTCAAAAATGTCTCACTGTTGGCATGAAACTGGAAGGTAAGGATGTTTTTCATTAAACTATTTGCTTTCTGTGCTCCTGGCAATGTTAGCCATAAGGGAAATGACACATGCGTGACACATTCGAAGAAAATACATTGAAAAACAGACCTTTATTCTACTGGTATTCAGAAAATGAGCTTTTTTTTAGATAGCTGCTTATTTTAGTTTATATCTACTTTCTGAAGTCTTTGGTTTTGCCCCATACAAATGGTGTTTTAGTAATCTAATGAATTACTGTTAATTGTGACTTGCCAGAGGGCAGAATTTCCTTGGCTGTCATGTTATAGGCTTATTTTCTTTTGATTTGTTTTCATATGTTAGCAACAGGATACCAAAAGCCCTGCAGTACTTTGTCAATCATATCCATGGATATACATTTTTTGAAAGCTGATGTATTTCTGAAGTACATGAGGAGAAAGTCTTTCAATAATTCCTTGTGTCAGCTTCACATTAAAAAATGTATTATTTTCATTCTGGTTGCCTGTCTGAAAGTTTGAATCGGTGCATCCAGGCATGGGGTGTGGTATCGATAAAAAGCAGCAGTAGTTTTTCTCAGTACCTTTCCTCAAATTAATTCATCTGTTGGAGTTAAAACATACAGATAAAATTGAACGGAAGAATCAATAGGAGTTGCAATATATATGAAGCAATTGTTGCATTAATTTATTAATATTAATACATTTACAGTTTTATTTAAGCACGGCCTATGCCGTGCAATTACTGTATGTTAAAAAGTAGAAGATAATATAAAGATTGTATTGTTTAGCAGAAACAGTCAATAGTAGAAATCAAGATACAGTATATACAAGAGTGAAGACTGGCTAATGACCTAATGCATGGATAGGAAAAACGAATGAAACAAAGTAATAGGCCATATTACTAAGTTAAATTAAGTGGCAATGTGACTTAATATTGTCGCTAAGTCGCTAAATTTATAGTCGCTATGGCGACTTCTGTTGATAAATGGTAGCTTGTTGCAAGTTTACAATCAAAATAATTAATCACTTCTTTAGGTGTTTACCACAAATTCCATGTGTTCTAATTTTTTAATAGGAATAACAAGGGTGTAACTGAGTGAAATGTTCTATTTATTTTTTAATTAAGAGTCAAAATAAGGAGGTTTATTTTTAAAGGATTCTGTTTCTATTTCACAGTGCTGAAAAATTTATAGAACCAAACAGAACTTATAAAGTTGTAAAAGATATTCTTTGCTTTATTAAATTCTTTAATTTCCTCAAAAATTCACAGTTTAAAAAATGTATGTAATAATTCCTATGAAAGGAAACCTTTATTGAAGTAAGTAATTATTCCAAAATCAGGCAAACAGCACTCTAATTTGTATGTATTTTGTCTGTAATAATACGACAGATGGTTGGCTTGTTCATCTCTAAGATGGATAAAATCTGAGACTTTTTAGTAAAATAATAAAAGCAGATTATATGTAGTATATTCAAATACTATTTAGCTTACAAACATAATCATGAGTTTTGAAATTGTGGACAAAAAATATAGAATTTAAAAAATGTGAAGTAATGCTTGAGTAATTGTCAGTTAAGATATAATTTAGAAATGGCCCAGAATGTTAGTAACAACAACTTTAGTTAGTAAGTCATATTCAACATTACTTTTCTGTGACAAAAAAAAACATCACAAAAAAGCTTTATCTACAGTACATAAGACCATCAGTAATAAACGTCTTGTCAAATGTGCATTGATAGTGTGCATTCAGAAAGGAGCTGTATAAAATCATTAAGCATATAAAACCCTGAAGCATTTTTATGTCAGATATCAACCATGGGACCCATAAATATGCTTTAGTAATATAGAAATACTTTAAATAGCGAAATATTACCTTGGATTTAGCAGAATAAAATCAATAAATAATTGATGGTTTGTATTCTACCATCTTTATGATTTGGTGACTGTTCCTAGGAAAGATGAATTTGGGAAATGGGGAGCAAACAGGCAGGGATATGAAAGAGAGATTAATTTTTAATTTTTTCTGCAGACAAATCTGTATGACATGCATGTAAATAACCTTGTTTAATTAGACACAAAAAAAATGTAACCAAAACATGTATTCGTGGTCTGACTTGCAGGGTCAGACCTAATTGTGTTTTCCCAAAAGGGCTAACTATTAGTTTTCAGCTCATAAATTACCTTGTTGGTTGGAATCATTAATAGTTAAAGTCCTTACAATAATGTATAATGGATACACGGGGTTTTGTGATACATTTTTAATGCTACACTAATCCCTAAGATAAAAAGCTCCAAACTTAACCTCCAGCGGAACACTCAGCAGTCTCTGTGTGTCACGGAGCTGTCAAAGGTTCCTGTTTTTGTGTAGTCACCATTAGTCAAGACGGACTTTGTGAGAACTTCTCGTTGGCTCTTTAGATCTACACGGCAGTGACAGACACTGCTGTGACAGAGACCATTAAAATTACTCCCAAGGCAGCTGTTGAGCTGGATTTGTTTTAATTATTTTTAATTCTGGAGATATTAGAAGCCATAACACTATCTATGGGCTTTAAGTTTTTCCGCTTGGGGAAATGGTGCACTGGATCGTCTTCTTTCACGTGCCAACTGTGTGCGAGAATTTATACTCTACTGCCAGCATAAAAGCAAAATAATTAAGCATAAATAATTAACGTGCACAGTCAACACAAAAAAAAACCAAAGCAGTCTCTGAATGGAAAAGTTCATTGATTACCTTTTTTATATGTGAAAATTAGTGTGTTTTCCTTTTTTTTGCATTTTAGAAAGGATCATATGATTAATTTATTCTTTAGCTTAGTGTGCAAATTCATGTTTCTCAGAGTAGACTTTTATTTGTGTTCATTTTACTAATTAACTAGATCCATCAGTATGAAGCTTTAATCATATCCAAATTACAGTCATGTGTCACATACTATTTAAATAGTAACATATAAAACTTGTTCCCTGCTAAGTGCTAAGCCACTGAAAAAAGAATCTTATTTGGAGATCCTACAGTATATCCCCAAATGCAAACTGGAGTGCAAACATAAAACATTTAATAAAATAAGTGTCAGTGTCTTTTCAAATGTTGTTTTATTTGTTCATTATCTGAAACTGCTTACACTGTTATAGGATGTTTTAAATAATTGGTATTGTACTGTGAATCTTTAGATGTTCAAAATATATTTTTAACCTGAAAATTAAATGTTCTGTTTTTTACTGAACAATATTTCTCAGAGTTGTCGAGTTTCTTACGCATTTACAGTCTTCGTATTATCATCAGAAGCATTGTTCACCATTTATTTTTTATCTTTCTTTGTCACAGCTGTAAGGGCAGACCGCATGCGAGGTGGTCGCAACAAGTTTGGCCCGATGTACAAGCGGGACAGGGCATTGAAACAACAGAAGAAGGCCCTGATCAGAGCCAATGGACTTAAAATAGAAGCCATGACTCAGGTGATGCAGACTGTGCCAACAGACCTGACAATATCTTCGGCCATTCAGAACATCCACTCTGCCTCCAAAGGCCTACCTCTAAGCCACACTGCCTTGCCCCCAGCAGACTATGACCGAAGCCCCTTTGTGACATCTCCTATCAGCATGACCATGCCACCTCATGGGAGTCTCCAGAGCTACCAGGCATACAGTCACTTTCAGAGTCGCACCATCAAATCTGAGTACCCAGACCCTTACACGAGCTCTCCAGAGTCTCTCATGGGCTACTCTTATATGGACACCTACCAAACCAGCTCTCCTCCCAGTTTTCCCCACTTGATAGTGGAACTTTTAAAGTGTGAGCCAGATGAGCCACAGGTGCAGGCCAAGATACTGGCCTACCTGCAGCAGGAACAAGCCAGCAGAGGCAAGCACGAGAAACTCAACACCTTTGGTCTTATGTGCAAAATGGCAGACCAGACTTTGTTTTCCATTGTCGAATGGGCTCGGAGCAGCATATTCTTCAGAGAGTTGAAGGTATGTGTCTTCAAACAAAATATACTAAAACTAAGGGGAATAAAGTACAGGCTTGTGTGCTATGAAAATAAATTAATATGATTTAATCACTTTCTCAAAATGTGCAATCTTGCCTTTGTCATTTCAGAGGCAGGACACACTTGGGATGTCATATGTTGTAGAAAATGGCCTTGACTGGTTTGTTCAGCGGTCAAGAAAACTTTAGAAAAGAAAGGAGACGCTTAATTTGCCATTGTTTAGGTGTACAGACTATTGCTCAGTGGTTCTTTTGAGTTTTCTTTGTTAATTATCTGCCTTAGACATCACATGGTCAGCTATACCTCTAGAATAAAAGGTACTTACAGTACTGACTTCACATTCATGAATCATTTAAAATTGCCCACCAGAATGTTCATTTTCAGTAAATGATCAATATACAGTATAAAAAAAAGATTTGGGCATCCTGACAAGTAGGAAAGGCTTTTAATATTATGTTGATAGGTGTGAATGAACGCTTCAGTATAGGTCATTTGAGGGATGGATTTTAAATTAATATTGTGTTGAAGCGTAATGAAGTTTTAAATATCTATGCTAATATATTCAAAATTGTATTATAATTTCTAGTTTCAAAGTCAATATTACCATTCTAGTAGTGTTTATGTGTTTTTGCACATAGGCTTTAGTTTCAAATCAAGTTGATTTTCTTAATTGGTCATTTGCTCTGAATGTGTCCAGGATTTTAATTTCTGTCACATTAGGACAAGAGGTCAGTAAAAATAATATGTGATCTGTAGGAAGCTCACAAAGGTTGAAGCAACCCACCAGAAATGTTGTCTTCACCTGAAAAACAGTGCAGTGCAGTTCTGTAGCACGCTAATCAAATCTGAGTGCATGACACAAAATGAACTGGTTAACAGGGCTGTATTTTTACTGGCGTCAAAGCAATACCTTTTTTTATTCAATATGAAAGTTAATATGCAGTGATTCATGATAGATCTATGATACATTGCATACATGTTGGGTGTATTGTAAAAAAATACTTTTATTACTTTCATGCTTTTGTCCTAAGGTGCGACATACTGTATTAATCAATTCATGGAATATATAACTTCACAAAATACATATACTGTATATTTATCGAAATGTTTTCAAGCCGAGTGAAGCTCCTGTGCACGTGATGTGCTCACTGTTTTATCATCTCTTATCTTTAAAGTAATTTTAATTATAATGTCCTTACTAACATATACTCAGCATAATTTGATTGCTTATTACGTACGCTTACAAATTATGCCCTGCCCCACTTTAGTTTCTAAAATGAAAACATTTTGTTTCACTAACTGCTAAGTTGCTATAGTTTTTAATGGTACTTGCCCTTAAAGCTTTGTTTCCAGCAACCTATTTTCCATCAGTTTAAATGATAAAATGTTATCTTTTGTGCACTGAATCACCCCCAAACCCATGCCATTGTATTTTTGAGCATTCAGAACAGAACTAGTATACATCTGCAAACTGTGAGAAAACAATGCTGTACATGACAATCATAGGAGCCACTTTTGCTCAGTATCATCACTAAATCATTGTCAGCAGCAGAGGTCTGCAAAATTATCTGCTACAACTGAGAGCTTACAAGAGCCGATGTTCTAATTATAAGGTACTCGTATAGCAGTTGTTAAGCTGAAAGCTTAGCATTTTTGATGAGAGAAAATCCTGAAAGATCCTTCTGATTTCAATGAGAATAGGTGATGAGGGTTGATGCTAGACTGAATATACTGAATGTGTAATAACAATTGTGAACAAAAGAACTTAAGGCAGATGTCACCCAGGCAGTACAGCCTCTGACAAATCGTATATACAGTTCACTGGGGAACCACCCAAAGACAACAGTCAATTAAAGGTGTCGCTTGACTATTAAGTGATACCAGTCTGCGAGGTTTGTGTTAAATGATACAGATTCACACACTAATTCATTTAAACTTAAACAAAAAGTTTAATCACTTCTGTCATTTTGCAACAAAGTTTTTACAACCCAAAGTTTGCAGTCTCAAATTAATTGCTCAGCAAGGAATAACATTTTAGTAGCAAACCTTGCAAACCTTGCTTTAATCTAAATGGCTTAGTCCTGGCATTTTATTATCAAACTTTAAGTCTCTTTCTCACTACAATGTCAATGCATTTGGAAATCCTAAAGCCACCTCGTAACGTTACCAAATCAATAACATTCCTCTTCAGTTTTACCAGTCTTGAGACAGAATAAAATCACTGGTTTCTGTTTTAAAATTCACAACAAAAGCTAATTTCAGATGTCTTTGGTAACAATTACAGTATAAAACTGACTAACAAATACAAATAGGTTCCACTGGGATTGGACACAGCAAGAATTGAAAGAAAGATACTGTACAAATGTGCTAGGGAAAGCTTGGTTTTTGGATAAATATACAGAACTTATACGAGTTAAATAGTATAAAAGTCAGAAAGTGAGAATAAACAAACTGAGATTTGATAGCCGATTGCATATTTTTTCAATCTAAATTGTGTATTCATTTTCTCAAAGACATCTGGAGCAATGGAAGTTGGCAATTAGTTTATGGTTTGATATTTTATTGTGTGATTTTTTCAATCACCACATGCTAGTTTGCTGAGTACAATTAAATTATGCTAAATACAGTATTTCAATAGTAGTTTGTCAATTCCATAGACTAAGGAATCTGTGAACGTAGCTTTCAGGCCCTGTTGATCAGCAATTGTCTTGCTGTTTTACTTAATGCTTAATATATACAATACAGAAAATCCATTCAGTATTGAATTTCAGCTTTTCAGCCTCCTTAAAAATCTAAGTTATTGCGAATGGTACTTATTCACATTCAAAAGATTACTGCTTATCTTATTATTATACCACCTTGAAGACTGATATGGTTTTAATTAAAAGCAAAATGTTTAGATTCCTTTCAACAAAACAACTCTTTAGATAGATATATTGATCCCGTGAGGGAAATTGCAGAAAATTTAGATTGATATTCTTTTGTTTTGGTAATCATTCCTAAGCTGCAAGTTCAGGTTGGTAGCTTTTGATAATAATGTACTTTTCTTATTTAAATTTGAAAGTGTAATAGTACTAATACTGACCCATGAGGTTCACCACTCAGTTTCGCAGCCCACGATGCCGCCATTCCTCATAAAAGTGCTCTTGAATTATATGTGCTAGCCATTACTTAAACACCATGCTTTTTATATTCACTGGTCTGCATTAAAAGAATTAACCCTTCATGTGGTATTTTGGTAAAATTATTTAAGAAATTCATATATATATATTGTACCATAGATTCTTTTCTAAACCATTACAACGTCTTCATGTTGTGTTTTTCATATAAGGAATCCTTCAGTGTAGTTTTTAATTTCATTTCCATACCTTTGCAACAAGGCATTAATATTTATGTTTGCCATTTAACAGTCTGTTTAGTGAACTTGTAAAAATCTTTTTTATATGGCATCGTATACTTCCTTTAAGTGGAATTTGATTAATACCATCAAGCCCAAGTGACCTATTGGTTTTAAAACCCTTAAGTCCCTTTAGTGCACAGACATCAGACTTAAGTTGCAACCTCTGATAGTGATGCAGGGATAAATATTTAGTATTTTGCATTTGTAGTACTTTGCATTTATAAGCATTTTTACTAAATGCATGGTTAGCGATTCCTTTTCCATTTTCAATCACTGACCTACAGTAGTGTTCCAACAAAATCTTTTAGAACTAGGTTTGCTTACCTTTAGCGTAAATTCTTATTGATGTTATACTGTATGTGAGTCCTTCATTTTCACCTATTCGCTATTAAGTGATGTCCATTGTATCACCTTGTGCTGGTTCACTTTTTCAAGACTTACTTTTAACAAAAGGTTTCTAAATGGTAATTTTATGTTTATGTGTCCCTAAAGCTCTCTACTAATGTATTTTTTCTTGGTGTCAATGGTGAAAATGCTGTATTTATTATTTAAAAACATCTGCTGATCACAAATTCAAATGTCTTGACTATATTCTTTAAGCAGGGCACATACCTATAGACTAAAACAATCAGAGAAGATGCAGTGATTGACATATAGTAAAACTTAAGTAAAATATTTTTTAGAATCAGGCCTGGGACAAATAAGTTTTGTTTTTATTTGCTGATTTTAATGAATCAACGATGACAACTTTACAGGGTGGATTATAATATAAGATATACTGTATAACTGACAAACAGACGTGTCTAGAAATTGATTCTGTTAAAATTGCTTTTGGTTAGTTTGCATTTGGAAAGCCAGCACTTTCTTGATCTCACATAAAACTGGACATGTCAAAACATGTTGTTTCAACTAAGGAGCAAAACAGTATTTCATTTTGATTATTTATTTCTGTAAATGCGCGTAAAGGACTTGAGGAGCCTGTAAAAATCCAGTACTGCTAGTGTTGTTTCAGTTCTGTCCCTGTCGTCAACAGTACAGATCTCCATCCCTCAAGTAAGGGATGTGTAGTAAATGTGATGTGTGGTAGAAAGGAACTGTTATCGGACTTTGTTTATTCTAAATTAAAATCTGGATCAAGCGCATGTAATGAAAAATGAGGTTAGGTTATTATAAACACAGGAAATATAAGTGAATAAAGAGTTCTGTAAGCCTGAGCTGTTAAGCAACTATAAATACATCTCCAGCTATTCCACTATTATTAGCTAGTCAAGAACAAAAGGATTTTGCTGCAAATAGACATGGAAAAAAGCACCTGGTAAAAGTGTTTTAGGATTTAGTTTCCAGAAGTTCAACCTAGTAATAGGAATCATAAATATTTAGGTATTATGAGAATATGTAAAAAGAGTTTCCTATTGTTTTCTATGGAACATAATTTCCCCAAAATTAAAGTGACAGGATTCTTTCAAAGATGCTAGTACACATGCTTTGAATTAGAAACTGGGTTATACATTTTCATTGGTCCTCAGTCTGTCTTAATCTGTTTAGGATTTGAAACAATATCTGGGTTTTTGTTTAAAATATAA